ACAAATATTAGAAAATGCATTCACGAGAGAAAGAGAGAGAGAGAGCCATACATTCATCATAGAAGCCATAGATCCTGTTAATGGAGGCGCACTCGTGATTGCCTCGAAGCAGAAAGAAGTTTTCGGGATATTTGATCTTATAGGCCAACAGAAGACATATGGTCTCCAATGACTGTTTGCCGCGATCGACGTAATCGCCCAGAAATAAGTAATTCGCTTCGGGAGGAAAGCCTCCGTATTCGAAGAGTCGCAACAGATCCGTGTACTGCCCGTGAATATCACCTAAAATACACACATTGTTTAATACATCAATTACTCATCAAAACGCTTATCCAAACCAGGCAATCACTGATCACAAGTAATTGAGTCACAAATCAGTGCGATTGTCACACTTACCGCATATCTTGAGGGGCGCCTCCAATTCCAGAAGAATGGGTTGACTTAAAAATATCTCCCGTGACTTCAGACACAAACCCCGGACTTCCGCTTCGGCCAATTGGACAGTCTTTCCGGGCCGACAGCCGCGCACTGTATATGCAAACCATGCAAACGACGCATAAAAAACCAATTAATTCACAAACAAACAAAAACAATCATTTGATAACATGTGTAACACAATAGTAATCACAAATTGCAATACAATTAGCAAATGAAAGCACTTTTCAAATATGCAAATCTATTAATACATTCAATGAGTCAATCATTGCCAACGCTATACAACCTATGCATACAATTCATCACAATTTATATAATGTGTACATTTTTGGGACGAAACTAAACCGCTATAAATACCAGTCAATACTGTTTGGCACATATACTGTATGTATGGGTCGCCCACCACTCGACCCCTGACCCCCACAACCCCTCCCTAGCCTTCACTACACCCACGCTATCATTAATACAATCACTAATTATTGCCAACACTTTGGCTGCAAAACTCACTGACAATTGTATGCAAAATATGATTACAATGTATTTGTTATGATAGCAAACGCGTCAATGCTATGGATCAGCTTTAGGTGATTATATAAGCGATACATACCCTCCAGAAGTCGACTGATAATACTATCGATATTTAGATCCGATTCAGAACTCATATTAAATTATTAAATTAGATGTAAATATAGTTGTAATGTATTTATATATATGTAATGTATATCTGTGTTGACGAGTGAGTGGTGTCTTCGCAATGAAACTGATGGCGAGTTTGCGACACAAATGCCGACAATTATAACACAATTACAACACTATTATAGCACTAAATAAAGGATAAAATAATGAAAACAATAAAAAGTGATTTCTATATGGATTTGAATTGAATGTTGAGTAAAGCGATGGTATGTTTGACACAAACACCACAAACAACACAACACTCGACAGTCAAGTCGAGCACAAAATGAACGATCGATTCGCAGCTCAAACACCACTACTCTTCCCAACACAACACACACTCTATCGCACACTCTATGCCTCTAATGGCCGCTCAAACCGTTCCCTACCTTCACATCGTTTGTGCCAACTCTCTCTCTCGAGCGACGCACTCACTGTACTGTTAGCCGTTGAATACAATGCATTGCCGATACAGTGTGTCCGACACACACACACTCTCTCTATCCCCTTATCCCCTGTTAGACTAGACGTGTAGCAAATGCCTGTCAACCCGACTCCCTATGTATTGCACTAAATAAAGCTGTATTAGACACGCGCTCTCACTACTCCCTACTCCAAGTCATAACCCTTATTAATCCCTAACTCCCGCCCTATTACTTAATTAATGTGACACAACTGGACGTACGTTGTTTTGAATCTAGCTTATTTTTATTTAATTGCATAAATAGGTAATTCAGTAAAATTCAAACAATTAGAAATAATTACGACCGAGACTTTTAAACATACGTTATATATGAATGCCTTTATTAAAAGTATTAAAAAAATTCAAAGATTTACCCGGAACATTATTCATTACACAATTAGTGCAAATAAATGTTTGCATATTGTTTAACTAACATCTGCCGTTTTACCCCTTTATAATTGAGATAACTATTTGTAATTTAAACCAGATTTGAGTCCAAAATCATATCAATTTGAGTGAATGCATATCAATTGTAACGCTATGTCTGTATCACATAATCGTTGATTTTAAGATAAAATAAGTGCTAAGAATGGACTATATTTCTAGGGATGGCCTGTAGTGTCACAAACACGACCAGATGGTCACTATTGGTCACTACAATATGGATCACATGTAATAATACACCGATTGTCAGAAACGCCGGTACCATAAAAAACAAAAGTCAAAACTTGAATCGTAACGTAATGTGTGAATCGCTCCGCTTTAATAAATGAAATACAGGCGCTCTTCGCGTTATAAATACCACACAAATGACAAAATTAATTAAAATCTGTGCCAAAAATTAATTAATGCACACAATTATGGCATAATTCACACCACACTATACACGCGTGTAAAGCGAGAAAACAGATGACATCGCTAATAGGGCCACACATTTGGATAGAGTGGTTACCATTAGCGAGCGTAGACTGTATGGAG